CATCCCCGGGGTCCAGCCTTCCCACCCCCAACCCCCAGCCCTGAAGGAGGACCGACTGGGATAGGCTTGGGGAGGTGGGTGTTGGATGGGGGCGGAGAAGATAAAGAAGCCGAATGACTCCATCCTCAGGGAGATCTTGAGATGATTCACATGCCACTGGAGGGGAGAGAGGGGCTGGGGGATGAATGGATTGCAAAGCAGAGGGAGGCGCTGAGGAGAGGAGCGTGATTCGTCCGCGTCAGTTGCTTCAACAACATCTGCAGTGCGTGGGGTTGAGCGATCCCACCGCGGGCCTGGGGGGTAGGGCTGGGAGGCTGGCTGACGTTTGCTTCCCGCCTGCTGGGCTGGCCCTGAGCAGTTCATGAATGACTCACCTCATTGTCAGGCTGATTCACTGCTCCGCTGGGGACTTGGGGTGGGGGGGCGCCCCCTCTGTACGTTTCACACGCGCCAGCTCACAGGCGCACACGCGCGGGCGGGGCTTCAGCGGGTCTATTTACTTGCTGGGGTTGGGAGAGGATGGATGGGTTTCCTGTGGTAAGAGGAAGGGGGATGTACACTACCTGGTGTGTGGAGAACAAGCTTAAGTTTCTGTCTATAGCGCACCTGTGGCTGTTTACATTTAAATCGATTAAAATTATATACAATGAAAACTTCAGTTTCTTAGTTGCACTAGCCACATTTCAAGTGCTCAATAGCCACAGGCAGCTAGTGGCTACTCTATTGGAGAGTGTAAATGGAAAACATTTTTATCAATATACAGAAAGTTCTATTGGAAAGCGCTGGTTTACATCTGCTGACTACACACTAACTCAGGATCCACAGCCTTCACACACACAGAGCTGCACAGACCAGTCCTCCGCCCACATATGCAGCACACGACACACATTTAATTCCACACACGCACTCAACATGCAACACCCACCCACCAACACAAAACTCTCAGCGTGTGTACACACTTCCTATCCAAATATGCCACTGTCCACACCGAGGCGAATGTAAATATAAACACATGCATCATCACACTGGTTCGAATACAACTGTTCATTCGATAAAAATACAAATTAGGGTGAAATGCATTTGTAAGTATGCCAAAATAGATACAAACCCAAGCCATGTGGTTCCCATAACAATTCCCAGCACATGTTTGCAATCTCAAGTAGGGGGAAAGAGAACCCCCATTTGTTGAGGCCCTGTAATGTGCTAGGCATGGAGTTTGCCATTTTAATGCATTAAGTCATTTAATTTCATAATGTGGGGGGAAGAGGTATTATTCTTTTTTCAGAGATGAGGCAGCTACGATTCAGAGAGGTAATGTAACTTACTCAAGGTGACACAGCCAGTTAGCAGCAGAATCAAATATGAACCAATATTTGTCTAACTCCAAGGCCAATGCACCACACTGTCTCCAAACTTAAACACGCACACACACACACACATACACACACACACACACACTGTCCAGGTGTGCCCTCCTTTATACCTAAGAAGGTAAAGCTTCTCGCCTAGCAACTGCAGGTGTGTTTGTGGAAGTGAGAACAGAGTTGCACAGACTCAGTCGCACTCCCTCCTGACAAATGTCATTAAGTCATTCAACAATGCTCGCTGAGTGTCTTCAATGTGTCAGGTGCTGGTACACAAAGGTGAAAAGCCACAGTCTTGCCCTGAAGGAGTTGGAAGTTCAGGGAGTTGTGAGGGGAACTTGAAGACAATATAGGGCACTCGATAGATCTGAGCTAAAATGGACGTAGGCCCCAAACGCAGGGAACCAAGGGGAAGGAATCCCAAGGCAGTTAAAGAAGGCTTCTTGGACAAGGCACCAAGAGAGAGGGAGCTTGAAGAAAGAATGCAGTGGAAAGGGACTGGTGTTGATTGGGAGGCTGGTCGAGAGACAAGATAAAGCAGGGAGGCAGATGGCAGAGCACTGCAGGCCCTAGGGATTTTACATGTCATCCTCCAATGACTGGGGAGGGATTTAATTTTTACAGTGAAAAATAGGATGCCCTTGGCATGTTAGAAAAAATGAACAAAAGGAAGGAGAGCTTGGACTAGGGAGACCATGCAGGAGGCTACTGCAATAGTCCAGGCAGGAGCTGGCAAGGACTGTAATAGGAATACGGCCTGTAATGAGAGCACTGTGCTAGGTGCTGGGGATACAAAGGCATCCAGAGAAGATGAGAAGTGGGGGTTAGGGAGGAGTAGTGTGTAGCCTGTTCCTGAGACAGAGCAAAGCAGTAGCCTCCTGACTCATGAAAATATGACGACTGCTATGAATTCTCTCTCAGAACAAGGCACATGTGCATTGCATAGGCACATGATATTTTGTACATTATCATAGGGGACTTATATATTCCCTGAAGCTGCAGGTTACAAACCCAGTTCCTTGGAATTCTAAGAAGCAAAACAACATAGTATTCAAGCCTGTGGATGCTGAAGTCAGACTGCCTGATTCACAATCTCAGCTGTACCATATCTTAGCTCTGTGAACTTGGGTAAGATATTGACCCTAGAACTGTACCTGGCACACAGAAAGTGCACAGGAAGTATTGGCTGTTATTATTATGGGTTCAATCAGAGTGCTATTGAGGCTCCTTCATTTCACCCACTCCCTTTAGTACCCCACTTCACAGCCAGGAATCTGGTGTCTTCTGGTGTAAGTCTTCCTGCCCAAGGCCCAGCATCCACTTTTTCTACTTCCTGAACCCACCCCTTCCTTTCTGGTCTGAGCTGCCATTATCCTCAAACCTGATCATTAAAGAGATAAGCCTGCTAACCTCTCTTCTAAGAGGAGGAAGAAGAGAACCTAGGCCTCATCACCATGGAGACTTGGTCTTTTCATTTCCCTTGAGGTGACAGTGCTAGAAAGAAAAGGATATTCGATTTGGGGGGACCCTTCAGCATGGGGCTCCTTACCAACTGTAAAATCACAAACTCCCTCTCTAAAATGTTCCAACTCCACTCCAACACCCCTCCCCCCACATCCAGGTTCTAACAGAGGTTGAGGGCAGCAGGTGGGAAAGGCAGAGGACAAGTTCATTTACCTTAGAAAGGTGATGGAGGAGAAAGCCAGGGATTTCTAAGCAGAAGATCTACCACTAAGTGACTGTGTGACCCTGAAGGAGTCCCTTCCCCCTCTGGGCCTCAGTTTCCTAATCTATAAAGTAATACTTGTCCCTCATTCTTCATAGGATCTTTGTGAAGACAAAAATGAACAAATGGTTAAATTGGAAGCTGCAAACTATAGTGTGGATAGGAGTTATTGTTATTATTCTTGGCCTTGGTCATCTCCCTTAAGCTGGAGCTGACAGAGCCCAGATCCGTGGGGGGCCCTGAAACAGGATCTCCAGGACTACCCACCACTGGGCATGACGAGCTGTGTCTGGGATGCCTGTGAGGCGAGGAGGCCTGTACCTGACAGGGTTGGGGCTTTGTCCCCTAGCTCAGAAGCACAGAGGACTTGAGGGAATCCCTAACTTGGAACCCAGAGTTGGTGGTCTGAGTTCTCCCTCCCCTCGCCATTCTGGCCTTCCTTTTGACATAGGACAGGCAAACTGGTCCACATGCAGCTCTGATGACAGCCACAGGTTATCCCCAGGTAACACCAGTCCAGGTCACCCTGGGGAAGATTCAGGGCTGGTTCAGATCACATCATTAAGAAGCCAAGTCAGCTACCTTCCTCCTGCTTGGGTCTTCAAAACTATGCAGCTCTAGCTGCTGCTCTGAGTAGCTCTCTAGTGACAAGCAAGAGGGGAAACTGAGATAGGACTAAGGGCCATTAACCACAGTAGACTTTAGTAAGGAGAGCTGGCTTTGGTCTCTCTGACTTGTTATGAACTTGAGGGCACAAGAAGTTTTTTCGTTTTTTGTTTTTTTTGAGGCAGAGTCTTCCTCTGTCCCTCCAGTTAGAGTGCAGTGGCATCATTATAGCTCACTGTAGCCTCAAACTCCTGGGCGCAAGTGATCCTCTTGCCTCAGTCTGCTGAATAGTTGGGACTACAGGTGCACGCCAAGACTTTCAGCTAATTTTGGCTAACTTTTCTATTTTTAGTGGACACAGGGGTATCACTCTTGCTCAGGCTGGTCTCGAACTCCTGAACTCAAGCAATCCTGCCTCGGCCTCCCAGAGTGCTAGGATTACAAGCATGAGACACCACACCAGGCCAAGAAGTCTTAATCATTTCTCTATGCCCAATGTCAAGCCTTGTAGCCGATGCACAGTAATCACTGTGTCATTCATTCAATAACTCTACTGAACACGGTGCTAGGTGCTGGGGATACAAAGTTGAACAAGCTGGACAAGCTCTCATGGAGTTGATATTCTAGTGAAGACATGAAATAAAGAAGTAAACCAGGGCAAGTATAAATTATGGAAGGTGCTGAGAAGGAAACAGAGAGTTGTGATGGGAGAAGGGATGTTACTTGAGAGAGAAGGTGACAGGGAAGATCTGAGGTCTACGCTGAAACATGAAGGATAAAAAGAGCCAGACCAAGAACATCTTTGCTTGATAAATGTGTGTTGTAAGAAAGGATGGACGGATGGATGGATGGCTGAACAGACAGACAACCGACTGGGTGAGTCCTGGGGTGAATGAAGTTGTGCTCCAGTGCCCAGTCCCTAGTGTGCTCAACACAAGAACGGGGTGGGGTGGGAGGCAGGACTGGGCGTCGTGGGCCAAGATTCCCCAACCTCTCTCTCACGTGAACACGTGTTGAACCAACCCACCGGGCCAGCGGGGCCGCTGGGGGGCGACCGAGAGCCCGTCAGCTTCCCCTTTAAGGCTGGGGCGGAAGGCGGGAGGGTGAAGGGCCTTCGTGTCGGCGGGATAGAAACAGGCCCGCCCCTTTAAAAGGGCGGAGTCACCGCGGTGGCGGCGGCTTCGAATGCGGCCTGGGCGACCCTCCCTCGGCCCTCGCCGGCGTCGCAGAAACGCCTCCCTCTGACCTCGCCCCAGGAGCACGGTTGCCTCGAGTTCAACCCTTCCACCCGAGCCAAGTCTGAGGCCCTGGGGACCCCCCTGAGTCGGGGTCCGCTGGGCCGACCAACCGGCCGGAGCCCACCCGCCGTCGCCATGGTAATGGCGCGCCCACGCCGGGGAGCCGCGGGGTCGCCTTGTACTCGAGCCTAAGGCAGCGCTCTCGGGGTTCCAGACCCTCACCCGCGCGAGCAGGGCCGGGGGCTGGGTGGGAGCTCGGTGGAGTCGGGAGACCTGGGCTCTAGTCAGGGCTTAGCATAGACGCGCCGGAGACCCTGGGAAAGCACTTTCCACCCCCTGGCCTCGGTTTTCCTCCTGTTGCCTTCCTTCTGTTGATCCTTCCCGATGCGCTCAAATGTCGTACCTCTTGGGTCCGTCCCTCCCCCTTCCCGCCCTCACCCATCCACTCTGACCCTTAGACTCTCCAGGAAGGTATCTCTAACTGTAGCTCTTCCTGCTCTGGCATCTGGGGTTAGGCACAACCCTTGGCTCTGAGTTTGACACTCATCTAGAGCTGGCCACAGCAGCCCTGCTGGCTCAAAGAAGGAACCGTGGACTGGGACATCCTACCCTTCTGAGACGCTAGTTTTTGGGTGTTGGATTAGGTAGAAGGAAACCTGGCTTGATTTTCAGAAACAAGGCTACTATGCTGGGCATACTTGGATTTATGGTATTTTCTCTTACGTTTGACAAAGGTTGCTCAGGTGAAAGCCTTTGGATGCTGCAAAATCCATAGGCCCATATGCACAGTCCTGAAGAACTGGCCTTGCTCTCCTTGGCAGCCTTCCCATTGTCCCCTTCCCCAGCTCCCAGGATTAATGTATATGGATGCGAGTGGATTATTGTACAATAAAGCATTTTGCCTTTTTTTTTTTTAAAGAGACAAGGTCTCTCTGAGTTGCCCAGGCTGAGCTAAAGCGATTCTCCCACCTAAGACTGCAGAGTAGCTGGGATTATAGGCATGTGCCACCACACCTGGCTAAGAAAAGTATTTTAGATCACTTAAGTCTTTAACTAAATCCTGTTTCTTCTCAATCCCTTATTCCTCTCCCAGCACTAGCAAAACACAAACAAAAAACAGTACATCTGATAATCTTGTTAGTGTTGAAAAGAAGCATAGTGAGGACAGAGCGTACTTTCAAACGGTATTTCTCCACCGAACTTAATTGCTTTGTTTTCCTTTCAGGCGTGCAGTTTGCAGAAGCTGTTTGCTGTGGAAGAGGAGTTTGAAGATGAGGTAAGGAAATGTTAGTGATCAGAGGTGGCAGAGGAAGTTCTAAGATGTAAACACTCAGGTCTAGAACATTTTGGAGCAGCCTGCACCAGCCTCCTTTTAGTTGGCTTGTATATGTTTTTTTGTCTAAGAAAGGCCGAGAAATGATGAGAAATGTAAACAACCTACTTAACTGTCTTAGAAACAAACAAAAAATAACCAGAGAGATGAATTGCCTGATTGTCATACCTTTAAATTATAAGGGGCCTTTCCTGGAAGCTGTGTCATTTAGATGATTTAATTTGCCCTCATGATGGGGAGGGGTGGGGGAAGAAGTTTATGGAGAACCAGAGAGTGTAGGAGACAGCACAGTTACTGGATAGCAAGAGTCCTGGGGTCACCAACTGGCTTTGTGAACTAGAGCAGGTTACTTTATTTCTGGCCTTGCATTTTCTTTTCTACAATATGGGAATGTTCTTCTACCTCACATACTCTTCCCTTCTCTCTGTCTCCTCAGAAGATGAGGGGTTAGACTAGATCCAAAGTCAGCACATTAGAATCACCCTCGTCTAGGCCCTACCACAAACCAATTAAATCAGAATTTCTTGGGGAGCCAGGCATGGTGGCTCATGCCTGTAATCCTAGCACTCTGGGAGGCTGAGGTGGGAGGATTGCTTGAGCTCAGGAGACCAGCCTGAGCAAGAGCAAGACCCCTGTCTCTACTAAAAGTAGAAAAAAATTAGCTGGGCAACTAAAAATAGCAAAAATTAGCCAAGCGTGGTGGTGCGCGCCTGTAATCCCAGCTACTCGGGAGACTGAGGCAGGAGAATTGCCTGAGCCCAGGAGTTTGAGGTTGCTGTGAGCTAGGCTGATGCTATAGCACTCTAGCCTGGGCAACAGAGTGAGACCCTGTCTCAGGAAAAAAAAATAATGATAATTTTTGGGGATGGCCCAGGCAGGGGTATTTCTAATGTGCAGCCAGAGAACACAGCACCGGTGGTCTCCACAACTCTTTTCCCATTCAGAACCAATGGATATAGTTTCATCCAGGAGGCTAGAAATTGATACCTCAAACCCTCTTTCGAAAGAGACAGGATTTAAGTGAATAAAGGCCAAAGAGACAAATTAACCTGCCTAAGAATACAGCACACACACACAAAAAGAATATAGCACCAACAGCCAGTATGAGAACTTGGCCTCCTCCTTCCAGTCTAATGTACATGGAAACTACTAAACTGCATTTATAGAATTGTTATATTTTACCAGTGACAAACTATTCAAAACTTACTTTTTGTCTTCCAATGCTTGGCCTAAAAAATTCTGTTTAGAATTTGTTCAGATGCCTAATTTATGCCTGGTATGGTGGTGAGTGCTGCACCAGTGACCCTTCTGGCAGCCTGAACCCCATTCTTCTCTTCCTCTGAGACTTGTGAAAGCTGAGATGTGAAAGGGAAAACGGACTTTTCTCACACCTCTTAAACATTGGTCTCTGGCTTGTCCCATTCATTGAGGGTCTAAGACATAGTGACACGGGCACAGATGGGTTGTAGTCCTGGTTCTTTCAAATGACTTAACCTGAGTCTCAGTTTCTGCACCCATAAAGTGAGAATAATAATAGTGCCTATTCATAGGGCCATTGTGAGAATTAATTGAAATGCTTACATGGTACCTGGTACGCGGTGAGGTTTCAAATCTTAGTTGTTTTGGGTATTACTTGGGAACTTGATTTTTGTTTTTACAGATAATTCAGAACTGCCACCTTTGTCAAGGAGATGTGTCCTTGTCTTTGTTTTTCAGCTTTGGAGATGTGTGATTATAGGCTGAAAAAGTGACTGTTAAAGTGACCCTCTTGGGTCTTCCAAGGTGATGGCAGGACTGCTAGGCTGGTAATGGAATCAGAGTGAAGCACTCTGACAGCTCAAGTTTCTGTTCCCTGAAAACGACAGACCAGTGCCTTTCCCCCTTCCCAAGGCAGATGACGTCATGTCTGAGAGTAAGCTCTCCAGGAGAAAAGGGGTCCATCAACCTCCAGGGTCACTAGGATTTTATTACTGCTATAATTCTGATTATTATTATTATTGCTAAATCCTAAGGCGGTCCTGCTGGAGTGTGGGACTCTCTTGGTAATACACAAAGCAGGAAAAAGCCTTTCTCTAGCCCAGACAATCCAGTGCGGCAGCAGGGGATGGGGGTGGAGGGGACCTTCCTGTCAGTTAAATCAGCAGTTCTGACTCAAAAACACCCTCAGAACAGGTCTGTTGCTCTTGAAGGTGTCAATCTCACCTTGCTTCCCAACTGGAATCCATACTTAATTTAACTTGCCTGAAAAGCTATATTTAACTTCTGCCTATTTTGCTGGATCCAAGGCCTCGCTGGCTTACTGTGTGTATATGTGTGTGTGTGTGTGTGTGTGAGTGTGTGTGTTGCACACAGGTGTGTGTTGGGGGTGAGGACTGGGCTGAGGACAGGCAGCATGATCAGCTGGATAGATCCCTGTTGAACAGGCTGGACACAAGAAAGCTAGTCTCCTTGAGATGGGGGTGTGACCTTGGGTGATTTGTTTGACTTCTTGGTGCCCTGGTACATCTGCTTCTACTGTCCTCCTCTAACTGCCCTTTCCCAACCCCCACTCTGAGACTGAAGAAAGAGAGAGAAGCTACCTGAAGACTTAGCCTTAGAGCATTTCCGATAGAAGCCTGGTGGTAGGCTCATGGAGTGAGGTCAGAAGTGGTGAGAGACACCACCGTTGCCTTTCTTTTTTTTGTTTTAGAGATGGGTCTCGCTCTTGCTCAGGCTGATCTTGAACTCCTGAGCTCAAGCAGTCCTCCCACTTCAGCCTCCCAGAGTGAGCCACTGCTTACAGGTGTGAGCCACTGCTCCCGGCCTTACCATTGCCTTTCATGCCTTGGTTTACGTGCTTGCAAGTATCTGCACTCACACGTACATGCCGCATTTCTGAACAGTAAGGTGGTTTCTTGGTTTTGATTTCCAGCTGCCAAGACCCTCTGTCTCTGCTTCCTTGTAGGATTTCTTATCTGCTGTGGAAGATGCAGAGAACCAGTTTGCTGGCTCACCGCCTGTGAATGCTGGGTGCCTGAGACCTGTCTCTTCTAGGCCACAGGAAACGGGGCAGGCACAGTCCCCCAGGCCACTGCCATTACACCGCACTGCTCCTTCAGAGGCTTTGGGCCAGCCAGGCCTGGGTCTCTCCCTCCCTGTGTCCAGCATGCCCTGGGCCGCCAGCCATCCAGTTTGCACAGGAACAGCTCCCCTTCCCACTTCCAGCAGCTTGACTGGCATTCAGAGAGGAGTGACACTATCAGAAGCACTCAGAGAGCCAGCAAGACCCCAGTCCTCAGCCCCACAACCCCTACTTATTTTTGAGAGCCAACAACAGTGGGTTGGTGGCTTCGAGGGGCCTGAACAAGACGAGTTTGATAAGGTCCTGGCAAGCATGGAGCTGGAGGGGCCAGACATGGAGCTGGAACTTGGAGTTAGCAGTGAGGCCATCCGAATCCTGCCTGCCCAGCAGCGGGAGGATCCAGTATTGGCTAAAAAGGCGCAGGTAGTTGATCTGAGTGGATCATGCTGGAAGGTGCCCATGCCTGCCACCCACGTAGCAGGTATTATGTCAGCCCAGGATAAGCCTCTAGATCCTGCTGTCCACTGTAGGACTCCACAGCTCTGCTTGAGACCTGGTGCTATGAGTAACCTTCCTGTCCCAACTGCCTCAACCATTCCCACTCAGCAACCCCACTGGGAAAGGTGTCCGCAAGGTGCCCCTGTACGAGCACCCCAGCCTCTCCAAGTTGCTGGAGGGCCTGTTCAGAGCAGCCCTCAAAATCAATTACCCAGTCGGGGATTTCATTCTCCAAGTGCCTGGTCGAATGGCAAACCTCATTTTCCGAGACCTCGGACTCCCGACTCAGGCTGTTCTACTCCCTCGAGGACTAGCTCCAGATTACTTCCTCAGGGGCACTTACAACTCCGAACTCCAGTGTCTTCTGTTGAGTCTCCTGTCAGCACCCCAAAAGGTCCCCAGGGAGCTCTGCAGACACCCATAGTCACGAACCACCTGGTGCAGCTGGTCACTGCTGCCAACAGGACACCCCAGCAGCCCACCCATCCCTCCACCCGAGCCAAAACACGCCGCTTCCCTGGCCCAGCAGGGCTCCTGCCCCACCAGGTGAGTGCCCTGGCTCTCCAGGACATTGTGGGCAAGGGAGAGAAGTAGGGTTCCAGCACTGCCCAGCCCGGGAATGCCTTCCCTCCTGGAGGGGATTAAGGAAGGAAGCGAAGAGAGGAAGGGTTTCCAAAGCGTCAGAAGAAGTGGGAGGGAAGAATCGAATTCTTGAAAATCCACCATGAGAGAGGTACTTAAGGCTCTGAGGACTTCATAATTTTCATACATTTGTTGAGCGCTTGCTGTTTGCTAACACTAGGGCAGGAAGGGTCACTCACTCATATTTGCTAAGCATGTGTTATGTGTTGGGCACTTTGCTTGGAACTGAGAATATGGAGATGAAAAGAGAAAAAGTTCCAGTCCTAAGGAGCTTATGGTGAAGTAGAAGAAACGGATAGAACAAATGATTATGCACAAAGTTCAGTGTGAGTTGGGGTCATTCCATGGGTGCTGGGGAGACGCTGACTCTGCTTTGGGCCTGCTCAGTGGGCTTTGGGTGGTTAAGTAGGAGGTTACCAGGTGCGTATGGGGGGGAAGCTGTGCTCTGAGGACAGTGTGGGAGTGAGAAGACAGGAAGAACGTGTGCAGAGGCACACAGGCCTAAGAGTGAGGTGCTCTTGGAGAGCTGCAGAAGAGAGTGTTGTGGCCGGTGTGTGGGGCCACTGTGGGGAAGTTGAGGCCAAAAAGGAGACAGAGCCCTGCTGAGAGTTTGGATTTAAGCAGTGGTAGAGGGACAGATCCATGAAACCAGTCTTGGATCAGATCCCGGAGAATCGGACTCTGAGGATCTGGTCTGGTTGTGGTAGATGTACCCGCTTCCTCTCGTTTGAAGGATGTTTGGAACAATTTCTGCCTGTTACTTACTCTTCCCTAGTGCTTTAAGAGAGGTCAAAGGAGGCCTCCTATATTCCTCCTGGGCTGGATGTCCCTGGAGTGCAGGGTTCAGGCCCTGAGAAGGGACCTGGGGACCAAGCTGCCCCTTTGCTCTTCTCAGGCCTTTCTATTTGGGTCACTGCCCCCTTCAGGCAGCCCTGGGTTTTGCTTCAGCTTCCTCACGTTCCCAAAACTGTCCCCAAAGTGTCTTTTTTGAGCTGCCAATGAGGCTCTTGAGAGTTTGTTAGGAACGATGTAATATGTGTTAATTGTCCCTGATAGTTTCCTGAACTCATTATGTAACCCAGACAAGAAGCTGTACTTGTAAATAACAGCTGCTGAGCTTGCTCTCGCCTTCTCCTTCTCTCCTCTCTTAGCACAGTGGGAAAAATCTGGAGGAGATCATGGTTTCCACACCCCAGGCTCCGACTCATGGTGCTCTGGCTAAATTCCGGAAAGAGGTAACTTATTCCATGCAAATGTTAACTTCCTGGGCATCATTTGAGAGTAAGGGATGTCCCTGCAAGTTTCAGGAGTTAAGAATCAGTCAGTGCTGCTAGGCCTGTTCCTTGGTGTCACACACCAAAGGTTATTTAGGGGCTGGGCACGGAGGCACATGCCTATAATCCTAGCACTTTGGGAGGCTGAGGATCAGCACTCCTGGCCTCCAGCCTCCTGGCGCTTAGGGAGGCTTGAGGCCAGGAGTTCGAGACCAGCCTGAGCAACATAGTGAGACCTCGTCTCTACAAAAATTAGAAAAATCAGCTGGGCATGGTGGGATGCACCTATAGTCTCAGCTACTTGGGAGACTCAGGCAGGAGGATCGCTTGAGCCCAGGAGTGTGAGGTTGCAGTGAGCTATGATGACACCACTATACTCCAGCCACAAAGACAGAGCGAGACCCTGTCTCAAAAAAAGGGGCGGGAGGGCAGAATTTAGGAAAGGCACTTGGAGGAGGCAGCAATTTTACTGGCATAAAGCAAGACCTGTCCTAACACCAGCCAGGCATTGTCTTGTACCATGGGTTCAGCCTTCCTTCCCATCTAAGAAATAAAGGCCCAGCTAGCTCCATCTCCCCCAGGGGAGGAGAGTGTAATGAGTATTTTGAGATTATATCTCGGGCACCCTTCCTCTCCGGTTTCTGGGAACTGAGCTGGGAAGGATCTGCCTTAATCTTGCCTCCAGCGGGTTCCCTTTTGGTGGCTGAGACCCAGCTTCCCTCCTCCCTGGGTTCTGGTTGACCTGCCCTGCCCTCAGACCCACTTTGCTTTTGACTCTCCCCAGCCTTTTTCTCTGCAGCTCCCTAGATTTGCCAGTCCATTTCAGATCCAAAGTAGTCAATACTCATCTGGATTCAAAGCATTTTTTTTTTTTCTTTTTTTTTGAGACAGAGTCTCACTCTGTTGCCCTGGCTAGAGTGCCGTGGCGTCAGCCTCGCTCACAGCAACCTCCAACTCCTGGGTTCAAGCGATCCTACTGCCTCAGCCTCCCGAGGAGCTGGGACTACAGGCATGCGCCACCATGCCTGGCTAATTTTTTCTATGTATTTTTAGCTGCCCAATTAATTTCTTTCTATTTTTGGTAGAGATGGGGTCTCGCTCTTGCTCAGGCTGGTCTCGAACTCCTGAGCTCAAACGATCCGCCCGCCTCGGCCTCCCTGAGTGCTAGGATTACAGGCGTGAGCCACCGCGCCCGGCCTCACAGCATGTTTTAATATTAAAAAGTTATTGGTTAAAGACAGAGGCATGCCAAATAAAATATGACTGGTTTGAAAATGGCCAAGACACTCTGAGAGCCTATAAATGTATGTGGGGAATCCCTACTCCTAAGACTTTTCGAGTTTATTGCAGGAGACAAGCATGATTAGCCTTTTGCTTCTGCGTAATGAAAGTCAGAATTTGATTTAAAAAAAACAAAAAGAGCACTGTTGCTATAGTTGCTTAGTGAAAGATGCACATACAACAAGATTTCACATACCATTTTCTGGCCTTAGAGATAAAAGCGAGGAGAGACTGTGGCCATCGTGCTACGGTTTTTCCTAGGGGGTTTGTCTTTCCTCTCCCACCCTGCCACCCTGTCTCAGTCAAGGGTCTGTAGTAAGGTAGACCCATTAATGCGGGCTCCCCCTCTGCTCTGTGGTGCCAGATTGTTGGTAGTTCCCAGGCATCGGTGGAGGAGGATTTTGGGCGAGGGCCATGGCTGGCCATGAAATCTGCTTTGGGCCTGGATGAGAGAGACCCCGCCTGTTTCCTCTGTACCTATAGCATTGTCATGGTGCTGCGGAAGGTAAGGGTTCTGGGTGCTGAGACTCAAAGAAAAGACCAACCATTTTTCTCCCTTTTAGCAACCTGTTGCCCTGCTCCACCTTAGGAAGGGGTGTCCATGTGCTCCCTCTTACCCTAGCCTGTCTGAGAAGCAGCATGAAGCCTCTTCGGTTGTATCTTCCACTCACCCACTTTTTCAGTATCAGCTCAGGCTGAAGGGGAGAGTGGGTTATGGGCATGCCTCAGCACTTCCAGGCCCTGGATGGGGTGGGTAAACAGCACTGCCACCCCCAGGGCTCCCCAGTGGTCAAGGGCCATGTGCAGATATGTGCCAGTACATGTGCCAACATATCCCTGCCCGCAGCCTGCCATGATGGAGCACTGTATAAATACATATGCACAAAAGAAAGGAGGCAGGGGAGAGAAATGAGGGCCCTGCCATCATCTCTGCCAGAAAGAGATGGGACACACCCTTCAAACTGCCCCTTTGCCTTCCACAAGGAAGGTCATCACCACACCTGTACTCTGTCCCGTCCTGTCCCCTGGTTGCCCTGGCATACTTGGGGACCCGGGAAGTTACAGGTGAGCCATGGCTGGCTCTGTGAATGCCTCTCCTTGCAAACAGGCAGCCCTGAAGCAGCTTCCTAGAAACAAGGTCCCCAACATGGCAGTGATGATCAAGTCCTTGACTCGGAGCACAATGGACGCCAGCGTGGTTTTCAAGGACCCCACAGGTAAGGAATTGGGTCCTGGGAGTGTCTGATGAGCGGCCCTGTTGAGGTCAGGAGATGAGAAATCACAATGTCCATTTGCAGATGGGAAAATTGAGGCAGTGAGCAGCCCACTTCCCAGCCAGGGCCCAGACCAGTTGCTGTGCTGTCCCTGACCCTGAGACTAATGGGCCATGTGGTATTTGCAGGAGAGATGCAGGGGACGCTACACAGGTTGCTGCTGGAAACACGCCAGAATGAGCTGAAGCCTGGCTCGGTGCTGCTGCTAAAGCAGGTATGGGGAGCTGCTCTCTACCCTCGCCCGGAGAGAGCCCCCGCACTGTCTGCCTCCTTACCTGTCTGGCTGCCTTCCCTCCCAGTGCCCAGCCTTGGCTGGGCTGAGCTGGTGCTAGACCCTGGTGTGAGGAGCTGGGGGAAGGCCCTTGGCCCTTAAGCCAGCTCCCATTCTTTGGGGTGGGTGGGGATCGAAGATTGTATTGAGGGGGAGGGTGTGGTGAGTGGTTCTATCCTGGCACCAAGGCTGGGGCAGGAGCAATTTGTGTGACTGGTACAGAGGACACCAAGTGAAAAGCAGGCGGGGACCAGGTGGCCATCTGGCAGCACCCAGTGCTCCATCAGGACACTGACCTTCCCCTTCCTCGACTCCAGATTGGAGTGTTTTCTCCTTCGCTCCGAAATCACTACCTCAACGTGACACCCAACAACCTGGTCCACATTTACAGCCCAGATTCTGGGGATGGGAACTTCAAGCCGTCTCAGCCCTTCCCCAAGGTAAGGGGAGCAGGATGGAATGGGGACTGGTAGGGCCCCTCTTCTGCCTGCATCATCTGATTCCTTCCTGTCCTCCACGCTGGGGAGCAGAGGTGTGAAAGGGGCCGGTGCCCTGAGCTGAAGAGGTGCCTTTGGGGACAGGACTATCTCCTGTCCCTGGTCCAGGCGCCTGCCAGACGGCTCAGTAACAGTACCTAGAGGAGCAGCTGGCTCCTTGGTGATCCCTCCGTGTCTGATGGCAGGCTTGAACATCTGAGAGGATCAGAGTCACTTGAGAACTAACCAAGTTAGGCGAGGGGAACCCACACAGAACACTGGTGGGGACACCCCGTTTAGGAACTGAGGCGAGCAACTCAGGCGAGCGTTTTGTATCACTGGGATGCAAGGATGGATGGATGCAGGCAGCTGCTCTCGAAGGTGAGAGTGCAGAGCCGGGCTTGACTCAGCCACCCCCACCCTTCCTGGGATCCTAGCCTGGGGGTCAGGAGACCCGAGTTTCAGCCCAGTTCTGCTGGTAATTTGTACCATGACCTCAGGCAAGCCCTATCCCCTCTCCTGCTGCTGCCTCATCCCTAGAACAAGTGTGTTAGACTTGACCTCAGATCTCTAGCTCGAACTTTCCACTTCCATTTGCCTCATCTTCTCTTAACCTTTCCACATTCTTTCAAAACCACCCCACTTCTAAAAAATAATGTTTATTTTTCTTTTAAATTTCAAATTATCTATACTCATTGAAATAAATTGAAATGGCATAAAATAAGCAAAAAATGAAACTCACCCTTTCCCACTCCCATTCCCGAGGCTAACCATAGTTAATGGTTTAATTACCAACTTTAATTATTTGCCCATATATTAGCTAATTTAGGGATTTTTTTTTTTTTTTTTGAGACAGAGTCTCACTGTGTTGCCCTGGCTAGAGTGCCATGGCGTCATCCTAGCTCACAGCAACCTCAAACTCCTGGGCTCAAGCGATCCTCCTGCCTCAGCCTCCCGAGTAGCTGGGACTACAGGCATGCGCCACCATGCCTGGCTAATTTTTTCTATGTATTTTTAGTTGTCCAATTAATTTCTTTCTATTTTTAGTAGAGACGGGGTCTCGCTCTTGCTCAGGCTGGTTTTGAATTCCTGAGCTCAAACAATCCGCCCGCCTCAGCCTCCCAGAGAGCTAGGATTACAGGTGTGAGTAATTTGGGGATTTTTAATAGCTAATTTTTAATCCCAGGCTAACTCATCAATATATTTCTGAATGGCTTCTTCACTCTCTGCTCCAGTTATATAGATTCCCTAAAACATTAGATACCAACAGAATTAGGAAAGACAATCTGCCAAAAAAGTTTTGTTTTGTTAAATTAGCTACTGTTTTGGGTGTTTGGCATTTGGCTCCCTCCTGTCAGTGTGGGCCTGGGTGATGGACTGGCCCCTGCCACACTCTCCATCATGTCTCTTTCCTGAGCCCCCACCTATTCCTTTGAGGTTGTCTGAGTAGAGGTGGTACTTTCCAGACGGATTTCAGGGGCACAGGCATTGGTAACCAGATCCTCTGTCCCCAGGATTCCAGAAGCTTCCATGACAGCCTCCAGCATGATGTGGCTGCAAAGCCTGGGGAAGGCCACAGAACTGCACAGAAGCCAGAGGCAGGGGAAGAACCCCCAGAAGCAGGTAAGGCAGTCAGCCCATTCGGGAGCAAGAGCGAGGTTCTTACTTTTATTTCCTCTTGAATAACTCAGCCCCAATTTTCCTGGCTGCATCTTGTTCCTCTTTCTGTGAATCTTTGAATCTTACATAGTCTTACAGAAATAAGATATGGTGTCTTGTCTGGCCAGGCTGTAGGCCCTAGACTTAGTTAATAGTGTGATGGGGCCACATAAAACAAGATGTGATGCATAGGTCCCCTGCATTTCCAGGTCATGCGCTATTAGCTATGAGGAGGAAACATCACCACCTGTCCAGACGGACAGGCGCGGTCTTTGTGCCACACTTTGAATTCTCTGTGGGCTGATGACCAGACCACAGAGGCTGATTTCCCATCCTAGCTAAGCTAAGAAGAATGCTGAGGAGTCAGGCAAACATCCCTGTGGTTAGTAGGGGACCAGGATACAAACCCAAAAGGCCCAAAAACAGACCCTTGTGCTCAGGCCAGCTGGTTCCTCAGGAGGCAGCACTGCTCAGATGAAGCTGACACAGTCCAGCAGCTGTTCCTTAGCTTCTTTTTTTTTTTTTTTTTGGTAGAGATGGGGGCCTTGCTATGTTGCCCAGGCTGGTCTCGAACTCCTGGCCCCAAGCAATCCTCCTGCCTCTGCCTCCCAAAGTGCTGAGATTATAGGTGTGAGCCACTGCACCTGATGCATCTTCAGCTTTTTTATTCCAGAAATTCAATTCTGTCTGGCCCCAAAGTTCATGGGATTATGGGTAGGTGTCTCACACTAACCCAATTCACAAAATACCAATAGAAAAATCACAAAGCTCATTTATTAATATTTATATCCTGTGAAAAAGCATTTGTCCCTTATGCTAGAATCTTGCGTTGTCTGGAATCCTGCACTTTGTCCTCATAAGTAAGCTCGATGACAAGCCAATCATCATCAGAAGGTTGCTGGTAGTTAGACTGGGAGCCAGGCTCTTAGGCATAGCTCAGTCTGACTTACTCCCGGGCCTGATCTCACCCAATAAGTGGAAGTTTGCTAGCTGGCAGCATGGCTCTGGTGTCAGATGGAGTCTTAGTATGCTCACCTTGGGCAAGTTGTTTTACCTCTTTAAACCATGTCCTCGAAGGTAAAGTGGGTTTATAGCAGGAACTACCATGAGCTGCCCTATGAAGGGTAATTGAAGCACAGAGCAAGCGCTCAGTGTCAGCTGCTATTGTTAACAAAAGTGCTATCCGTAGGGGTTACTGAGGCCAGCTCTGTGTCCAAGTTCTCGGATATATGTATTGCATCCCGAACACAGTCGGGAACAGTTACTGTCATTCCGAGCCCACACAGGCACTTTGGGGAAGGGGGCGATGTTGTCTCCCACTGTCAGATGAGAAGCCAGATTAATGAATTGTGTGATTCTGAACACAACTAATGGCTTTTCCCGGCCTCCTTTCTCCCTCCATCCAGTGAGAGGGTTGCACTAGGGGACCTCTGAAGCCTTCCTGCTTGGCACTGTGACTCTGCATGGATGGAGAGGAACCACTGATGCCCAGGGAATCCTCTCCCTCACCAGAATGGCCCCAGGATCGTGCCCTGCCTTTTGTCGTGCATGGGGACACGGGACGGAGGGAGGTGGAAGTCAGGCCAGCCTGCCGACCACACCACTGCCCGGGAGGAGCTGCCTCCCTGGCTGTACAGCCAGGCCCAGGCCTTCCTGAAGGGCAGGACCTTCAGACCTGAGTCACTCAGAACCCGAGTGTTGTCACTAAGGCTACCCCCCCCATTCCCCTCTCTGCAGATGACCTGGACGGACTCCTGAGTGAGCTCCCTGAGGACTTCTTCTGTGGGACCAACAGTTGGCACTGCCCCAAGGCAGGGCACCCACCGTGAGCAGGCAGCCTCTGGGTGTGCCTGGTCACGTCCAAGGGAGAGAAGAAAGCCAGCATGAGACAGAGCTCGGGGCTTCTGTGCTTGCTCCCACTCTGGACGCTTTCCCTGAGAACTCCCTCGTCTCTCGCATCCTGCGCCGCCCTCACTTTGGGCCTTCCTTTGCCATTGGCAGACCAGGACTTGGCCCCAGACCGGCCCTCAGCCTTCCTGTCCTCCAAGCCCTCTGGTACATTGTTTCTTCTCCTTCTGCCAACAGGAAAGATGTGTCACCTTCAGTGTCACTCTCCTGCCTCAGTTTAACTTTAGAGGATATTGGGCCTGGTTTCCTTATCCCTTTACTCCCTAGTTTCCAGACAGCAGAGGAGCCACACCACAGCAATGGCGAACTGCCCTCTGGTCAGGGAAGGAACACTCAGACTTCCCTCTGCTTTGTCTCCTGAGGCCTGTGGCTGCCCACCTCACCTGTGCCCAAGGTTCCCAGGTGTGGGGACAGGGGTCGGGACTGTTGGACCTTGTTCTGAAATAAAGCAGCCCCTCCTTCACCTGCCTCTCCCTGCCTCCCACCCCTTGCTGCTCCTTGTCCTGGCTGCCCTGCCGCTGGTGCCTGGCCGAGCAGGGCTCAGGCAAATGTGCTCTTTTTTTCTTTTTCTTTTTCCTTTCTTTTCTTTTCCTTTCTTTTCTTTCCTTTTTTCTTCCTTTCTTCCTTCTTTTTCTTCCCTTCTTCCTTCTTTCCTTTTTTCCCTCCCTCCCTTCCTTCCTTTCTTGCTTCCTTCCCTTCCTTCTTTTTCTTCCCTTCTTCCTTCTTTCCTTTTTTCCCTCCCTCCCTTCCTTCCTTTCCTTTCTTTCCTCCCTTTTCTTCCTAGTCTACCTAGTCTATAATCCAATACAACTTTCTTTTGTTGCCAAGCACCTCTTTGTCACTGTAGCTTCTCTGTACCACCAGAGGTGGACAAGGGGCATGGGTGGGGTGTAAAAGGCCTAATTATACCAAGTTGCCAACCTCATTTTCCTTTCTGGAATGACAGTTGGGAAAACTTTCCCAACTCACGGGTGAGAGGAGGTGGATTAAAGAGCCAGGTTTGACTGCCGGCCTCCCCTACCTCAGCCTCAGCCTCAGCCTCAGCCTCAGCTTCCACCTCCCCTAAGCAGGTGGGACACGGGCTTCCTGCAGGCATGGGTTTGGCACTGCTCTGGGGGGAGGTGTTAATGTCCCCTTTCCCAAAGACAGGCTGATCCCATGGATCCCAGTCTGAAGGCTGAAGTGAGCAAGTGCTTTGAGAACGCCATGCTCAGTTACCTGCTGATGGCAGTGGGACCCTGTTCTACAAGGCTTTTGTGCTTCGAGGCCAGGGCAAGAAGGACGAAATTCCCCAGCATCCCGGCTCCCATTTGGTCTTCCTACCTGAGCCTGCCGTGCACTTCCTCCTCCCTTACCTCCTCCACTCCCTGCTAACTCCCCAGCTCTGCCTCTGTAGTTTCCATCTGGGCCAGAGCCCTCTACAGCAGGGTCTTCCTGCACCTAAACCACCCGTGCCCCCCACCTGCAGTGCTCTTCCTGAGCCCTGGTCCCCATTGCTCACAGTCCCGACCGATGCCACACTGCTCATGTCCTGGTTTCTTGTGTACTTTATCACCCCACAAGCTCTACTGGTGGGCATCTAATCGCCTGGCACTGTTTCCTCCAGTAGAGCTTCTGGGCACCCTGTGGGCCGTTGGGCAGGTTGAAATAGAGTCCTCCTTTCTCTGCCCTCAGGAAGCTAACACTAAGGACAAGGAGACTGAATACTGTGGTATCTTTGGAGGACTGAGCTGTCATCAAAGCACCTTCAGGCCTGTGTGGCAAGAAGGCAAGGGAGAGGCTGGGCCATGGCTATTGTGTGCCCCGGGGAGGCAGGGGACTCCCACCAGCTTTGGCTCCTCTTGGCCACACCCAGCCTCACCAGACTCCCAACCCTGGGAACCCAGCTGTGGGTGCTCAGCCAGGCCGTTGGCGGGGCAATTAAAACACCGAGTGGGTTCCAACAGGGTTAATCATAGCTGCATTCATAGAGGCGCCTTTCTCTGAGGACCTCGAAGCCCTCACTGTGCATGATCTCATTCCTCCTATGGGATCCCCCCAGCCTGGAATGCCACCAAGAAGCTGGGGCCAGGCAGAGTGGATGAGCAGCAGGGAAGGGCAGTGCTGTAAAAAGCCCAGGCTGCTGCCACCCACTTGGGCGGGCGGTGGACGAGTGTTTGCTCTGGCAGAGAATAGGGACCTTCATTTGATGTACTACACGTAAGAGGCCAGCCTGCCATGAGCCAAATGCTCCCAAACACCACGTCAAGACCAGCTGTGTGCAGGGCCTGCTCTGGAGCCCACACCCAGCATGACAGACTGACATCTGCCACACGGGATAGGTGCCACAGATTTCGGATGTGGCTGGAACCATAGGGGCTCTGGAGAGACATCTCCCCCGAGCAGGTGACTTGGAGGTGGACTTTCAGGAACGAGTCAAGGGCATTCCAAGCTGAGGGAGCTGGAGTGAGAAGCTGTGATAAGAATACCATGTGATACGAGTGATACGGGGCCAATCCAAGGAATTGGGGCTTAGCTGGAGAGGGCTGTTGCTGGCAGTCAGCGGCTTTTCAGCAAGGGAATTAACCATTTTAGACAGATCATTCTGGCAGCAGAGCGGAGTGGGTGTGGCCAGAGGGAGGAATTCCACGTAGGAGGCTGGGGTGATCGAGGTTTGAAGCACTGGGGGCCTGAACTTGAGAGGGAGCTAGGACTTGGTTGTGTGAGGGGACCCGGGAGAGGAAGAGGTGAAAGATTACCGAGCAGGGCCCTGCAGAACCAGGAGGAGCCCACACCACCGGGGGAGACAGACCAGCCCTACCCGCAGCCCACAGCCCCCAAGCCTCGCAGGAAGCCTCGCTCCTGCCCTCCCCTTCCCCGCTTTGCAGGCACCAGCTCCGGCGGTTTCATGGCCTCATTCCTCCCCCTAGAGGCTCCTGGAAGCACAGCCTCTTCCTCCTGAGGGTGATGGGGTTTGTGGCTTGAAGATCTCTTTGGTCCAGGTCCCCAGAGTTTCCAGGTCAACCCCTTGGCCCTCCTCAGGCCCTGTGAGCCCCCTTAGGAGTTGGGTAAAGGAAAAAAAAAAAATCAAAACTCATCGAAGGCAGTTTCTGGAGACTATGGTGTCCTGCTTGGAAATCGAGGGGTGGGGTGGGATAGGGGCTCTCACAACTGTCCGCCCCATGTGGCCACAGCAACTGGAGCCAAAGTGCACCATCTATGTGGGGGCCTGGCACCACCCCTCATAAACTGTGACCTTGAGCCAATAGTTTTACCTTGTTAAGCCTTAAGTTCCTCATCTGTAAAACAGATAAGACCACCCACCTCAAAGGTGTTTGTGATCTTTTCTTTTCTAAGACAGGGTCTCACTCTATTGCCTGGGCTAGCCTGCAGTGGTATTATCATAGCTCACTGCAACCTCAAACTCCTGGGCTCAAGTGGTCCTCCTGCCTCAGCCTCCATGCCTGCCTAATTTTTTAAAAATTTTTGTAGACTTGGGAGTCTTGCTATGTTGCCCAGGCTGGTCTCGAACTCCTGGCCTCAGGTGATCCTCCAGCCTTGGCCTCTCAAAGTGCTGGGATTACAGGTGTGAGCCACTGTGCTTGGCCAACTGTGATAATCTCATTTATTGTCCAAACCAAGTTTATTTTTTACCTGGGCGAGCTGGGAATTAGGGTCGCCTGAGTGAAGATGGATATGAAAGTGATTCAAATACCATACACCTCTGTGCATGTGTGCAGAGTTACTGCTGTTACTGCAGATGCTGGGAAGAGCTGTTCAGCTTCTCAGTAACTGTCTGGACCTCACCTTACTTGCTGTGCTAAAGTCAGCCCTCTCCCCTCCACATGGGCCAACAGGGGCCCTGCCCTCCAGCCAGCATCAGAGAGGCTGGAGGACCCGAGTCTTCCTCTCTGCCCTGCCTATCTCCTTGAGTGCCTGTTGCACTCACCTGGGACCTTGCCAGCCCGAGATGCTCACTCCAGAGAAGAGGGAGGATGCTGGCCCTGGGGTTCAGGGGTGGCCTCAGCTGAGAGCCTGCTGAGCAATCAAAGGGCATCGGCATTGGCAGGGGCAGGGGCAGGGGCTGGCCCTAGCCCTGGGCTGGGGTTGGCCCAGCACCTTTTGTGCACCAGGATCATGAGTCTGAGCAAACTGTTTACCACAGCAGCAAAGGGCCTATTTATAGCCTCAGCTGCTCTTCTCTCTGGCTCACGGAGGAGGGGGTAGGGTGTCTCCTCAGAGCAAGGGTGGTAGGCTGAGAGAACCCTGCTCTGCCCAGGTGCCACTGCCCTGACGTCTGGGCCCCTACTCATGGCAGGGGAGACCTTCCCCTTCACCTCCTCCACGCTGCGCTCTCTCCGCCTGCAGCGGGAGTGGCTGGAATGGGAGGACCGGCGGCGGGCTGCTGCCCGGCAGAGCCGAAGCCACAGATGCCCCTTAAGTGCCCGGGCCCAACTCTCTAGGCCGCGCCGCTCCTGCCGAGATCCAGCTGTCCACAGTGCCCTGTTCTCCGGCGACCTGCAGCAAGTCCAAGCCCTGTTCCAAGACGAAGAGGCTGCCAACATGATTGTGGAGACTGTGAGCAACCAGCTGGCCTGGTCGGCTGAACAGGGTAAGAGGAGCACCAAGAGGGCAGGAGAGGGAGCACCCAGGCCCCATTCCCTCCCTGCAGACCCACTGCCCAGCCCAGCTCCCTCCTAAACAGAGGTGAGGCAGAGTTAGTGGCTTGTATGTCTTTTCAGAATTAAAAGTTATATTCTTTTTAACATACTCTATATTTTAAATTGGCAAATATAATTATGTATATATTATGTTAATTTTATAGTAATAGATATATTCAAACATACTTTTTTCTTTTTCTGCACATATAATATATCCATGCATATGAATATTTCTTCTTTCAAAGAATGAAATAATATTCTACATGAAATTTTATAACCTGCTTTTTTCATATAACATCTTTCATGTCAATAACCATGTCTATAAAAGATTTTAAATAGGTGCATAAATTTTACTGTGGGGTATGTGCCATGATTTAAATAACTAGCCCCCAAATATTAATAGACTGGGTAGACTGTGTTCCTTTTTTTCTTTTTAAGTATTTTAAATAGCAGTATGACAAACATCTTTATGTATTTGCCAGATGACTTCCTTAGGATATATTCTTGGACGGAAGATGGACAGGAGATCACACCTGCCCGTGGACCTGGGGCTCGAGTCCTTGGGAGAGCTGATCCTCTCACAGTCACCACAGGCTCCAAATTCCTGCGTGACCGTGACCCCACCAGGGCATCCTGGTCTTGCCCTACAGCTTGTCCATCATCCCCAAGATGGAACTCAGCCTTAATTTCAATCCTTATGAACAGCAAAACAAGTTTTACCCAAGATTTAGAAAAATCAGAGACTTAATATGGAACACTTTATAGGTTCCATATTAGGCATCTATGTCCTCAGAACAAGTCCTTGACTGTTGCTACCATTCCAATCTGGATCGACCCTCTCCTCACTCTCTTTCCCCACCCCCACCTCCTATTCCCCCCCAACACCCTTCCTCCTACTTCCACCCAACCCTCCCTGCCCCAGGAGTATCCCAGAACTCAGTTCTGCTCTGTGGCCACTCCCAAACTCAGCCCCAGGCCCAGCCCCACCCCACACTCAAGGTCAGAGGAGAACAAAAACAGCCACTGACTCCGTGAGCAGCTCTAAGACCCCAGGTTTCCTTTATGGGATTCATTCTCCTTAGTTGGCCCTTGTGGCTTTATAGAGCAATTAATTTTTTTTCTATGACACATACTATGTTTTGTTACAAATTGACAAACTGTTCTAAAAGGCTATTCCAACTTATACTCCCAATTCAGGGCTTGAGTGAGGCCCTTCCCACGGGTACAGCCTGGCACAGTGTTTGTGCTCAGCAGAGCCGGCAGTGGGAAGACCAGCATCAGCTGTCAGCTGGAGCCAGCACCCCACTCCCCGCCCTGCCTGCCGGTCTCGCATACCACCCCTGACACTGCCTGTTCTCCTCAGGGTTCTGGGTACTGACCCCCAAGACCAAGCAGACGGCGCCCCTTACCATCGCTGCGGCCCGAGGCTACACAGATTGTGCCCGCCATTTGATCCGGCAGGGAGCTGAGCGGGACGCCCGGGTCGGGGGCCGGGCTGCCTTGCACGAGGCCTGTGCCCAAGCCCAGCCCGACTGTGTGCAGCTGCTGCTGACCTTTGGCGCCAAGGCTAATGTGCTGTCCGAGGAGGGCACAACCCCCTTGCACCTCTGCACGACCCCTGAGTCCTTGCAGTAGGTTCCCAGGGACTAGGATGGTTTGCGGAGGAGTGAGTATGTGTGTGTCTCCAACTCCCAGGGCCAGAAGGGAGAACTTGACATCTATAGCAGCTTCCTAGTGACAAAGCACCTCACATACACGTCTTCACAGCAGCCTGGAGACAGGCCTCTTCTAGGGAAGAGAAAAATGAGGCTCTGGAAAGGTTTAGTGACTTGTCCAAGGTCATATCTGCTACACCCAGGAGGCAGAAGCTCTGTTGCTTTTTGAGAAAACCCTGTTCCAACTTTCCAACTGCAGTCTCCAATTCCCTGTGAATCCTCTGTAGCCAAATTCCTAGTTGTTTCCGGGTGGGCATCAAAAAAGAGCTAGCCCTGAGCCAGGCATGGTGCATGGTGCCATGCTGCTCACGCCTATGGTGCCAGCTACTCAGGAGGCCAAGGCTGGAGGATCACTTGAGTTCACGAGTTCAAGACCAGCCTGGGCAACATGGCCAGACCCTGTCTCTACAAAAAGAAAGCAAGAAAAATCTAGCCTCATGTTTCCCAGCCTCAGTATGAGGCCCCCCCATACCTCCTTCTCACACCTTTTTTTTTTTTTTCGAGACAGAGTCTCACTCTGTTGCCCTGGCTAGAGTGCCGTGGCGTCATCCTAGCTCACAGCAACCTCAAACTCCTGGGCTCAAGGAATCCTTCTGCCTCAGCCTCCCGAGTAGCTGGGACTACAGGCATG